TGAAGATACCAGAACAGCAGAAGGTGTCAGATGGCAGTGTCATTAACAGGAGTCACTTGAACTGCCATTTATCAGCATTGCATTGGCTTGAGCCTGGGACATAATGAAGCTTTGCTCTTTGAGACCCTCCAGATTGACTTCATGTTGAACTAACACCTCAGATGCAGTCCCCTGTCAAATGTGAAGGACAAGTGAAGAGCCTTCCAGCAGATACAGTGGGGTCCTCTGAGTGATGTTTGGATGCACGTCTCTTCAACAAATTATTCACGATCTGCTCTAAGACATCAGACAGAGGTCACATTTACCAAGGAAAATCTTCTTCTGAATGTACTTGCTAGCTTGATGCTGCTCTTTCCACATAGTGAAAGAAAGGAGGAAACAATCAAAATTCTTCAAAAAGTAAATAACATTATGTCAGGTTCTAATATTGTAATACTTAACTGGTATATTGTGGCTTTCTGAATCATTGAGCCTTGAGGTGTTTATGTGCACTAACAGAAAAGTACCTCACAGAAAGAAAAATGCTGAAGAACATTACCGTATTACTGAATGCACCAGGGACAATATTATTTCCTGAAAAAGGCCACTGTATGAGAAAAAGTAACATCAAGAAAATGTATCTGTGATGATGCTGGAGCAGTAATAGCTATGGCAACTATACTTTTTCACTATCATCTGAGTAATATTCTGCATTTATATTGCGAACAAAGCTGCAGGACAGGCTTACGAGATTGGATGTATCCTCATTTCATTAATGGAAAAATTGAACACAGGATTTAAAAATTTTTTTTTCAAAGCTATGACAAGCTTGTGAAAAAGGGTGCTATGAGAAGTAAAATCTGCTTTGCTGTCTGGCCATTTTACATATAAGAATTTCAACATTTGTCCTTGGAGGCATTAAAAGGCATTCCCCCTTAGCAGTTCTTCAGTGGATAAGGTTAAGCTCTTTCTAATGCACAGCCCTAAGAAAGAGACAAAGATCACAGAATGACTTTCCTCCATTTTCATAATCAAAAATCTATTTCTAATTTCTACACATAACGCTAAGTAGTAATATTTTGGAACCATCATTCATTCCCATGGTAACATTCCCTGATATTACAAGCAGTTAATTATGTCGTTGCTGTGTGGCTTATTTATGGAAGGAGATAAACATTTAATGAAAGCATCTTTGAATATATAAACAAAATAAAAATTGCCATTCTATCCCTCTGGTCTTTCCTCTTGCTCTATGCAAAGGAAATACAGTATTTGAAGGTATCTGCTGAAACTGATAGAAATACAATGCTCTTGGTGAAGAAATGTAATATCATTGTATGGCAAAGAGGAGAATTCTGCCTGAGATTTTAATTAAACAAAATTATTTTTGAAAAAGACATCATATAAAAATATACTTGGTATAATAGATTATAAATTCCTAGGGATTCAAAACAGAAAACCAGAACAAAGGACTTCATGGTTACTTTGATAATTTCTGAGCTACAACACATGACATCTCTGTCCCCTGACTGTCATCAGGATCACCCACGTAAGGGAAAAAACCTGAGAAAAGATGGACAAAAAATTCTGAATTGTTTCACTGGAAACCGCAAAAAGGACATTCTATAACTGTTTGACATTCTGATTTATAGTGCCAATTAAATAATTCTGTGGTGAATGGTCACTGAATATGCATTTTTCTAAGCTTGAATTAATATTGTTTTGTTACAAAAGTGACCTGCAAATATAATACAGTCAATACAGGAAAAAGAATATTGGTTGAGTAATAAAGTCTGAAAAAAACTCTTTAAAATGTCAGTTAAAAAAATGTGTATTTTTGGAAAATAACAACCTTAAACTTTATTAAATTTAAAAGGCAGGTCTTAGGCTAAAAAAACAATTTATTGATAATTCTTAAAAAAGTTGTCTAACTCTTTGTTAAAGGAATTTATTCTGGAAGGTTCCTCAAATTTTACATATCTGTATGTTTTTATCAATAATTTGACAGCTATTAAATGTATGATGGCTAAGTCTGCCATTAGAATCGTAGAAGAAAACAGAGTACATTGCAGAGTAACCTGAATTATTCAGCTAAAAAGCAAATGACAATAGGTGAATTTTAATACAATCAAATGGAAAGAACACATTCAGACATAAACATTTCCTGATTTTACCTACAGGATAAAATCACCTGTTTAGAAAGCCGTGGTTCACCAAATTTTAATGGATTATCACCTCAACCTATCACTGTATCAAAGAGCACTAATGTGATGCTGCATTAAAAAGAGGAATGGCATGTAAGAGTAGAGAGATGACCCTCCCTCTGCTAGGTAACCACTTTGCTGAGCCCAGTGCTGGTACAGCATATACTGATCTGATTAACCCACTTCAAAAGGCGTATGAAACCCCTGAAGAATTCAAAGGAAGACCACAAAAATTATTTGGTCTAAAAAGCAACCCATATAAAACGAATCTCAAAGTGTCCTACCTAGCAACGACAGTGTTGAGAGAATCTGCACTGTGAGGATGGTGAGGCACTGGAACAGGTTGCCCAGAGAAGTTGTGGACGCCCCATCCCTGGAAGTGTCCAAGGCCAGGTTGGATGGGGCTTTGGGCAACCTGGTCTAGTGGAAGGAGTCGCTGCCCATGGCAGGGGGGTTGGAACTAGATGATCTTAAAGGCTCCTTCCAACTCAAACCATTCTATGATTCTCTTGATTCTACGGTTACTCATCTATACTGCGTATAGATGAGTTAAGTGAGGATTTTCAACCTTGCTACCAAGAACGCTACAAGAGCCAAAAGCTGGATGATGAAGTCAGGAAAAACTCAACCTCACAGGAAGAAGGAATATCCTTGAAATTAAGTGTCCCAATAGATTACAAGAGGAGTGATATAACTCATCATTAGCAGCTCTGCAGTCTCTGTAATGAAGCAATTTTCATGGGTAAGAGATATCTGGGAGAGAACAGTGGCAGCCCTTGCTAGCCTCCCTCTTAACCCAGAAATGATCAGACATGTTCTGAGTTTTATTTTGCTGCCGTTCCCTGAAGCCTTGAGCAGTGGATGGACACTGGAGATAATCCTCGGGGAGTGTTCTGTGATGCTACAGAGAATCCATTTTCTTGGACAGCGTGTTGGCAAGTGCTGCTTAGATCAGTGGGATGAATGTGACGGAAAGATTTCAGGTCAGAAGTAATGTTGCACAGGTCAGGTCAGCAAGAACCTTGGTGTTTTTTTTCCCTGCCTTCCCATGGATCATCTGCTGGCTGGTTTGGGGATATCTAATCTCACTGATTTGCTACAAGTGCAGAAGTTGTGAAGGTTGGTGGTATCAGTCTCTTGTGCTCTGTTTATCGTGTGTAACCGTTAATCTCTAGAGGATTTAAATGCATTAGTGTAATCCAAACTTACAAAGTTAATAGCCCATGATGTTGACAAGATGTACGGGAATATTGTGAAGAAGTACAGGGAGTGGGACTTAAAAGAAACTAGGCTGGAAAGCTCTGAGGGCACTGTAGGGGTGCCACAAAGCACCCAGCGCAACCCCGCCGCCAACAGCCGCGTAGGGGATGGCTTCTTTCCCTGTCCTGCCAGGGCTACAAATGACTCCACGATGCTCTTGGGAGACTGCTGGCCCCCGGTGTTTTGGTTTCTAATATATTTGGGAGAAAGAGTTTAGCACCTGGATATTATCACAAGTCTTTTGCTTTCATTTCAAGGATCCAGTGCCGAAAGGCAGACTACAACTCTCTTTGGGTTTATTCTGATCTCCAGTCCAGAGCCATAGCTGATGAAATGCTTATGCTTGTACTTGAACTGATACCCCTGCTAAACACTCCTCCATTTCCTTCCTAAAGTAAAGAAGCTTCAGCTTTTCTTCTTGACACAGTAATCTTTCCCCCATCATTTCAGTAGGTAATCATTTATCCCTTTGGCTTGCTTCTAGTCTCATCATTGCTCATGTACCCTCACAGAAGCAATACAACACATCAGAATAAAGCTGTTGGGGTTACAGGTTTACACTTGGCTTTTGAAGGCTGTGCTTCCAGACTTTCAAATAACACAGTATTTATAGCTAGGCTCATAACAGTGGCTAGTAGAACATTCACATAAAAGAAAATGAAAATACAAGTATAATATGGCTTTCACATCTGATCTTTTCGACCTGGCAAACTTAGGCATCATATACTTAATTCCACCCACTGAAATATTCAACTCTAAATTATTTTGCTTAGATTGTGATGTGGCAGGCTACAAATAAACCTTAAAATTACTGCAGTTGTGTCCTGATTTCTTAGTAACAGTGCTTTTTCACATAACTAAATATATTCATTTTTGGACTCCAGTACAACACAGTTTATAAACCGCTGCTTTTATCAATACATAGCTAAGTATATTTACACCTGAATTCCTTGAAGCTTTTTGTTTACTTTATCTGATTTGTCTTGGCAATATACGTCAAACTTTAGATGGGAGCCTTTGCTGATTCTGTTCCCAATGTATTGACTCCTACCTTAACATAGTTCTTCTGATCTGAGTAGAATATTACAGAATAGCCAGCCTACAGTAACACTTTTTTACATAATGAAGGTGATCAGCATAGATTGTGCATATGTTATATTTAATGAAAGCATATGAATTTATACAACCATCACTGCACAGATCAAGTATCATTCTGGGACTGCAATGAACTGCAAATGGACTTACAAAGTGAGCTGTGAGCTTCAGCGTGTCTCATACAGTACAAGAAATCTTAGGAACAGACAAAGGGCATCTGTGCCAAAATGCCTTTACTTATTTTTAGCATCATCAGTGGCTAACATACTCCCAAGTTTAAAAGTTGACAGTATAGAGATACAGTGGTTGTCAGCAGCTGATAGAACAACCGGGTACATCAATTAAATTTTCTTGATGACTTATAATATATTCTGTACTACATAAATATTATTTTAGTTCTAATACAAACATGAAAAGAGCCTTCACAAAGATTTACAGGTGAATGCAGGGGACTGCACTTACCAAGATGCGTGTTCATCATCTTGGCGCAGTATTTGCACATGGCTTCCAAGTCATTTAGTTGTCCTTGTAGGAATGAAATCTGGGCCTCCAATTCCTCCTCCTGCAATTAAGAGGTTATTAGTATTAAAACCCACCTTTTTACGATACACAGTAAAATTGACATGCTTAAACATCTTATAATTTTTCCTACACCTCTGTTCTTGAGAAAGTTTTGGAAATAGAATCACCTTCAATCTGTATTTATTAAAAGAGTTTTAAATTCTTTTGTCATTTCATGGATACGGGGTTTGGCTTTAATGTTTCGGTGTTTATTAATATCACCCTTTTACCTTCTAAAGAGTCTAATAAAAAATTGCCTACACTCACCCAAGAAAGGTTAACAATTCATATTCCTTTTACAGATTAGCTACTTGGTTTTGCTTGTGCAAACACGGTACCACAGCAATGGCTGAAAAAACTCGCCAAACGAGAAAAATTCCCATTTCTGGCAGAGTGATTTCCAATTCCCTTGGAAGCTCAGCAAAATTCCTTTTTTTTTGTTTCAAGGCATATATTTAATGAGACCTAATGCCATACCTCAAGGATGCATTACTGCCATATATTTTGGCATATTTATTTGTGTGACACATCATGCTCTATCTGTATAAAGCCCGTGCACGTTTATGCCCAGCTAACTGCACTTCCACACGTCTTATGTAATAGTAGGTGAAAACTACTTTCAACTCACATACTGTAATGAAGCTACTTTAAATTATCAAGTTATGTTTAATAAATGTGCATCAAGTGTAATTTAAAAAAATAATTAAAAGAAAGATTCTTGATTTTAAGGCCTAGGAGAAGCATTATGATCTAGCCACATGCCCTGGCTAAGCAACGGGAGCTACCTCAGCTAAGAATTTATCTTTGAACTCCTTTCTTTGCCAGTTAACAAATGCATCCAGTGTTGACTTTAAAGACCATACTACAGAGAAAGTTCACCACTCCCTTAGAAAAAGTCCTTCGGAGTCCAGTCACATACAGTTTTAAGCAGTTTTTTGTTTGTTTAAGTATGCAACTGAATTCAAGCAGATAAAGGCAAAGTGACTTTTTAGCCTGCTGTTTTTCTTAGGAGTTCTGCAGTTTTATTATACTCTTGTTTGATGGAAATTGCTGAATATTGGAGTGTGAATTACGTTTCAAATGAAAAAAAAAATCCAAAACTGATCAGCAAGAATAAAACCAATGAATCAACCTTGATTTAAATGTACAAGTGATCTTAATCTCCATCACAAACTGAGTAAGAGCCAAGCAAAGGAAACTTTGCACTAATATAGCATATATCCAAAACCAATTGATAAATAAAAAGAAATTTAACAGTAGCATTTTGCAAGATGTAGCAAAATAATCACATTTCCTCACACTTCCTACTCACATTTCCTTCCTTACTCATGTTTTCCTCACACTTACAATCTACAGACATTAAACATATTTTTTGTTGCGATTTCCGTATATTAAGAAACCATCACCTCATTTTACTCGACCTTACACTTTTATTACTTAAGCCTCAACGGGATTGATTTTATATTGCTAATTTATAGTTGCTGAAAGAGTAACCTCATTCAAAGTCTGCAGTTCTGTCACAGCCTACATGAGTGTATCTGCACGGATATTTCTATCCAAGCACTGTCCCTGCAGAAGACCTTTTCCTAGTACATACAGCTAGCAACTGCAAGAAGTAATCTACCACAAATTTTAAGTTGCCATTGCACCGCAGCTGTAAGATAAGGAAAGGCGACAATATTTGAGTATTTTACTATAAAATAACATAATGAAATTCTAAAATCATTAGCCAGTGATTGAAACCCAGTTTATCTCATTTCCTGCAAGTGAATAAGAAAATTTAACCTCCGGTAATAAACATTTCCATGTTTCCCAGACTATTTTTTCTTATTCATGGATCAGAACTGAAGTAAATGGATTTTAAAACACATTTGGACAGCTCTATCCACCTGAGCAGATTCTGAAACTAACCTTTTCAACTGTGCAACAGTATCTCTTCATCTGGCAAGTGAGACCGGTGCTGAGTAAACTACATCCACTGCTCTTTCAGTTCGTTAGGGTCCGGCATGGGGAGCAGAAACATTCAGCAGACCCAGCGCTCGCAAAGGAGGGTACTGTGGCCGGGAACTCACAGGCGGTGCAAGGGGGTTCCTGCCAAGTGGGAAATCCTGAACGCACTTGGAGTTCCTCACTTACCTGGCACCCTCAGGAAGGGCACCAAGGAGCGCTGCCAGTGGGATGTGCAAATAAGCAAGTCAGTTAACTTGGCACTTGACATACGGGAGACCCAGATGTGCTGTTTCCGTAAGACAACACCCAAATGGTGATGACTTGCAACAAGACATAGCCCTTGCCCCTGCTGTCACCGGCAGTGCTGTGGCAACCTCTGTGCAGACAGACCCTGAAGGTGACCTCCCTGGAGGGAGGCTTATTCTTTTGTAGTTGCTGCAGCAGCAGGTGAGGAGCTGCAAGAGGCAAGTGTGTTTTGCTGCATCAGGGGTGACAAACAGGAGATTGACAGGCTCTTTCAAGGTGTAAAAGCTTATGCAGCAGACAAGAAAGGTGCAACCGAGGCAAGATGCAGTGGGAAGAAGACATGCACTCCTAAGAAGGTGGAAACTGGAAGCTTGTGACTTCTGTAGCAGGAGGGTTGCCCAGGGGTGCAGGGCCTAGGCAGCAGAGGGGAAGAACAAGCTGCCTCAGAGGAAGAATCCAGGTTGGACACTGCATCAGAGCGCTACCAAGGGAAAGTCATGAATGACAGCGAGTGGTTGGTGACTCTCTTCCAGCCAGACCCATCAAGTAGGCAGGTTTGTTGCTTGCCTGGAGCTTTAATTTGTGGTGTTGCAGAAAGACTGTTTGGGGTCACCTAATGTTCTGACTTTTTTCTGCTTATTCATGCATGCATCAATGACATGCTGATGTGAAACCATTTCAATTCAGAAGTGACCGTAGGGCTCTTGGGCAATGGTGAAGGGGACAGGAAGTCTGGTGGTGTTTCTCTTTAATCCCATGGCAAAAGGGAAAAGCCTGGATAGCAGCAGATGTATCCGTAGACCACATATGGCTACGTATTTGGTGGCACTAGCTGGGCTTCAACTGTTTTGTTTGTGGCACCCCATCTGATGAGGAAAGACAACTTAGAAAATAGGTCCACCTGGCAAAGAGAGGGTAGAACAACTCTGTGAACGGACTTGCTGATCTAGTGGGGAGGACCTTGTCCATCATAGAACAGGGACCTAACCCAGAAATACATAAGGAAGCAGCACATACAGAGAAGGTATGCAGAAGGTCCACTTGCCTGAGTAAGGAGCCTCTTAATGAACTAAAATGGGAAAAGCACATATAGAGATGGAAATGGTGGAAATGGAGAGCACGTATGTGGAAACAACGACAGGAAACAAAGACAAGCATGCAATCATTGTTTGGGCACAGGAACAGAACTGGGAAGGACAAAACCCAGTTGTAGCTAAAATTAATGGGGGACATTAAAGGGTAACATGAAGGAATTTTACAAGTACGAGAGCAGCAAAAGGAGGTTCAAAGAAAGTGTAGGTCTATTGCTTACTAGGGGAGATAAGATAATGACAGACGATACAAAAAAAGCTGCAGCACTCAATACCATTTCTGTCTCTCGCTTTTTAGGCAAAGTCTGCTCCCAGACCTCTGCATGTACAGTTTGGGATGAAGAAGGATGGCTAAGCGTTGCGGGGCAATAAGCTGGTGAATACCTGAAGAAGCAGTATGTGTTCAAATACATGGGGCCACATGGGATACACTCATGGGTCCTGAAAGAGCTGACGATGTGACTGCAACACCACTGGCACCATGAAAAATCACTGTTATTACAGGACTTCCTTGATGTCTGCAGAGAGTTTAATTTTACATCCATATTAAAGGAAAGTGAGAAGGAGGATCTAAGAAACTATGTGATGGTTGGCCTCAACTTAGTCCTTGGAAAAATAGTGGAGCATGTCCTCTAGGAATCAATTTCCAACATGTAAAGGACAAGACAATAATCAAGAAAAGTCAACAAGGATTTACCAAGAGCAAATCATGCTTGACCGATCTGGTTGCCCACTATGATAAAATGACTGGCCATGCAGATGAAGGGAGAGGAGTGAATGCAATATCTTTTTACTTTAGTTATGCTTTTGACACTTATTTCCAAAAGCATCATCATTTATAATATGAGAAAGTATGGACTGAATGAAAAGACTGTAGGTGGGCTGAAAATTGGTCAGACCCCAAGCTTAAGAAGTAGAGTCAATGTCTTCATGTCAAGTCGATGGTTGGAAATGAGCATAGTAACGAATGGACTACTATGAAGAGACTGTTCAGGATTTTCACCAACAGCCCGTATGAGGAAACAGAATGTTCTCTCATTATTTTCAGATGATGCAAAATCAGAGGTGTGGCTGTCACACTGACTGGTAGAACTTCAATTCAGAAACACCATGAGACACTGGAAGCCCATGCAAAAGAAACCTTTTTGAGATTTCTGTTTTAGAAACTTCAATAAGTGCAAAATTCTGTGCCTGAGGAGAAAAATCCCAATGCACCAGTACAGGCAAGGAAGCAACTTGCTATTTTTCAGGCCTGCTGAAAATGATCTGGAGGCTTACAGTGGCTGCTGAGTTGAATATGAATTAACTAAGTGCTCTCCTGGTGAATAATTTAAACAGTGCACTGGGCTACATATAAGAGGAATGTGGTCAGCAGATCCAGGAAAATCATTACCTGCCTCTACTCCCTGCTCGTGAGCCCTCACCTTGAACAATGTTTTGGGCTCCAGTTCAAGAAAGATGTTGAGAAACTGGAGAAGGTGCAGTGCAGGGCTACTATGATGGTTACAGGTATAGAGGACAGGCTGAAGGAGCTTGTTTATTTTGGTGAAGAGGAGGCTACGGGGGATCTTGGGACCCTGCAACTACATGGAGCTACAAAGATGATGTAATCAAACTCTTCCCAGCAGTGGCAGAAGATATAGAAGGGACCATGGCCAAAAATTGAGGGTTCAAATTGGCCATTAGGAAAATATGCTTCATTAGAAGAGCAATG